AAGTTATATATAGTTATGAGGGGGTATCACTTCAATAAAATAACATGTAAAGGGGGGATCGGCTGAATTTCATCGTGTTTAGCCAAAAATCCTCCGACCCCCCCCAGGCGATAAACAATGACCGGTCCCTTATGGTGATCTGTAGAATTATACAGACCTCAGAGGCTGTTATCGCCCCTCTTGCGTTGTTCCTTGGTCTCATTATTTGGGGCGGGTCAAAGCTTGAAGTGAATTGACCGAGAGGGACTGGGCAAGAACCTCTAAGATCTGCCTAATTCTTCAGGTCATGATCGCACTCAGCCTCATTCAATTATTATTATTATTACTAGTAACAACCAAAGGTTACGGAGCGTAGTATAGGCGACAAGGATCAAAGGTCAAAACGCTTGAGCTCCAACGCTGTGCTTTACATAAGTTCCACGTGACAGATGGTCAAAATGCGCTTGATCAGATTACGAATGATGGAGGTTCCAAACGCGCGTGATCAGATTGCGTTATGTGCGTTTCATTCATTCTTAGTGTAAGTCCAAACGAATGCTGGTTACATACGACATGCGACGCATGCTCAACGTTTCTAATTTTCGTAAAAAAATTAAATCACTACTCCTTAATGTTCTAGGTAATGAAGATAATTATTTGAATGTTAATTTTTTAATAGAATATTTTGTGAAGTTAACCTGATATGTTGTATATACCTCCAGTTGTAATTTCAGTCTTTTTCAAATAACAAAATCCCTTGTACTTGAATTTATATGTAAGGTGTTTCTTTCTGTATGTTTTTGTATTTCTTCTTTTCTTTTTTCTTATGTAATTTAATAACGCCTTTAGTTAAAGTCTTGTCCTGCCTAGATTAGCATTGTAGCTATTTGCAGGACATGAAGTATTGTAAACTTTATATTTCTTTAAATAAATACATTGTTGTTGTTGTTGTTGTTGTTAATAACAACCTGGAGATTAGGATTGCGGGCTTCTCTTGTCGCCCGCTATCATCATCATCATCATCATCATCATCATCTTTCTCCTTATTTTTATCAATATCATTCTTATTATCTATATACTCTCAGTATTCAACTGGTAACCAGTTCCCGGTGAAAGTCACATCATGCAACCTTAGCACTCGAGAACCCGTCGAAGGAGTCGTGCTGTTCCTGATAAAGCAGTCTTTTGAATCTTGCCAACTAATTCTTTCAGTATTGTCCCAAGTGCCCCGACAACAATAGGCACAGCTCTTATTTTGACCTTCTAAAGTTTTCTCAATTGTAATTATTATTATTATTTATTTATTTATTTCATTGTGTCAATTTTCTGTTAGCTCACCATCAAAACAACTCTCTTTGCAGAAACTGTGCTTTCAAGCTGTCAAGTAATCTCCATTTACAGTATACGTACCTATTTCATCAATACCTTCGTAGCTATATCCAAACTCTTGCGATCTCTTGAACATCTGTTCATGAGTGTACACAGGGAACATCGGTATAATTACATCGCCTTTGTTGTGGCCAAGTGGGGCATCGTAGGGTGAAAGGATAGTAGCATTCTGCTTATAAGTTTTAAGCCATTTCTCAAAGATCAGATCAATGAACGAGTGATGAAGGTAGAAGATGGGGTCATTAGCAGCTGAAGGAACATCACCCATGTCACCTCCCATAGATATATGAACTTGGCTATGAAGGGTGTGAACGTTTGGCAATCGATATCCAGTCTTGCTACTTGCAAAGCCCTCCAAGATGTTCCTAAAACTGCAGCTCGTCTCTTTGCTGTAGGATGGGAGGTCGAACATTTCAAACTTCAGGGCAAAATTAACATCTTCTAAAGTTGGAAAGGTAGTAGCGCACCCCCTATCTTCTAGACCTTTTTTTCCTTTGGAATTCAAACGCCCCAGCCATGATTTTTCATCAGAAGAGCTGCACATCCGAGTCATGCCTCGGGTTTGCTCTTCGGTGCAAATGACACTCCAAGACGTAAAATATTTTCCTGTTACTCTGCCTGTGGTCACATTGGTGACGCCAAGATGCTTTTCAGTACAAATTGTGCAGGTTTGTTTATTTTCAGTCCATTTCCAATGCAATAAGGCACAGTAAAGCTTTTGTCATAGGTCATTTTTTGAAGGCTTCTGTCGAAGAACAACAAGTACAATCGATGCCAAGTGAGGATCCCTTGCCCTCCGTGGGCATCGTCAACTCCAGACTGGGTACCGCGTTCATCTGAAAAAAAAATTGTACCTTGTTGAGTAATAGTGCATCCAACCGTGATGTTGGAGAAAAGTCCTGTAGGGTCTCCCCCGTGGTCACTTTCATTCCGTATTTCATCGTACGCAGCCGTCGTCACCATATAATCGCTGATAGCAAACCTGCGGAAAACAAGCGTATTGTGCGAAGAGAAAATGACAATATATCAAACAATTTTAATGGCGTGGGCGAAGTAGATACATGAATTACATAATAACATGAATTGGAGATTATATTCCTTCCATTTAACCCTTTGAAGCACTGCGTAACTACAGTTGTAGCCGTACAATAACGTTATCTTTAACATTACCGAAATTTTTGCATTTTCGGATACTCCCTTTGAACATCCTGATAGCCCTTTATTCTTTCAGTTCAGTTCAGTTATTCATTCTTTGTAATTATTATTCATCACTGTTCATTTAATATGTACCCACCAGGCGCTGACTATATTTGAAAGATACGAGCAATATACCACGAGAAAATGGTATAATGCCCCAATATACAATCGCAACCTCATTTTTTCGTGATGGTGCGGCAGCCTAGCTGTTTTGGTTTAGGAACTAATGACGAAAGAGTTCACGTCTTACCGAAGACGATATAGGCGAATTTCTTGTAACATGTACAACGTTACAACTAATTTTTCCTATTTTCGGTGTTCGCCATAACTGTGACTTGCGTTTCTCTGTAACGTCGCTCATGGTCACTGCCTGTAACTATTCCCCCTTCTTATATTTTTAATTTCAGTCATCTGCGTCTTTTTTAAGTACCTTTCCTATTGTACTTGGCCAAGCAAAAGGATAAAATAAAATAGAGTTCTACTTCCAAAAGTCAGGTATGGGCTCTCTTTATTCATTAACTCAGTTCTGATTCATACCTCGACATGTTGACGTATCGCATATAGCGGTCTTTCTCCTCGTCTGACATTGTCTGGAAATTTTTTTTTGCTTCAAGATTGTCTTTTGGTCACAATTTGTGCCATGATAGCCGAATTCACAGTCACCGCAGTCGTAGCCACCAAAGTTCGCATTGCATTTGCACACTCTGGTATAAAGAGAGTTAGGCCATAAACTACGATCGTCCTCCTTGTGGTACTCTTTGAAATGGCTGTACGTTAAGTTCCATCTACGAACCGTGAATTCATGAAATTTCCCCCTGTTTCCATCGCTACCACAAGGGGCGGTGAAGCCATGTGGTACAGGACAACATTCTCTGTTTTTCAGACTTGAACGATTTATACATGCCCTAGGAAACTGCCCTTGTGCAGGTGCAACAGCTGGAATCAGGAGGAGTGTTATGAGCAAAAACATGCTGATTCCCTAAAAAGTGATAAAAGAAAAAGATGAAAATTGAGTGATCATTAATTTTATTAGTTCTCATATTCGGAGGGGCTAGCTAATAACCGGAACAAGTAAAAAAGCGTTTCAAAACAAGTTACCTAGTGATACTGATCGAAATACTTTTTGAATTAACTCTTTTTGCTCCAATACAAGCTAAAGGTTTTTTTTTAACCGGATGTATTTTTTTTTACACGTAGATGGGTCTTGACCAGGGGAGCCTTATAAGTGGGGGAGGGGAGTCATAAGCGGAAGTTTATGTTGTTGTACAGTGATGTGCTGATGCTCATTATTGTGTGAGATAAAAATAATCAGCGATTATCAAGTGAAATGCATATCATGATCATGAGCTTTTCGAACAGGTCAGAATTATGGTCCTGATATATTGCCTAGTATCCGGAAGAGTCAGCTCAGTTGCGTTAAATTTTTAAGGCCTTCTTCCTTGCCGTACTTTAGTAGATATTAAGAACGACTCAGTAAACAAAACCAGGGAGCTGAGAGACTACGTTTACTTCATGGCCTGCAAATTTTCGGGAGAGTTGAGCTTCAAGTTTATTTATCTTTCTTTTTTCATTATTTTTGAATAATCAACCAACTTATTTAAAAGGATACCAGCATTAATGATAATTTGCTAACCTAAGATCAGGCTCAATTTTCGTTTCGCTTTGCAATAATGAGGACGGCTAAAATTGGGCCTGATCTCAGGTTAATACTTTGCGGGCGAGTTCAACATGTGCGCCACTCTCTGATATTAGAAATTCCCGGTTTCGGGCTTATAATAGTTTCATCGGCTGTTCCATCGCCGTGCTTGCAAATTAATAAAATAATAGCTTTGATTTATAAATAGTTGGCATAGTCTGCAAATATTCTGTTTGTCTCAGCATTCGAGTTAAATTGTCATGTGATGAGCGAGAAAACCCTGGGAACGAAGATGAAATGACGCCTGCGAAGCGATTGAAGCGAGATCGATCATCCTCCGAGGAAATTAACGAACGAGAGAATGAAGACGCTCGAATTCAGGGGAAAATCTAATAGTGAATTTGCTGACACCCATTTTCATCAAGTGATTATAATAAATATCGCAAGTTTCACAGAAAATAGTTGTAGTGTCCAAGAGAAGCGTGTGGGTTCTTTCAAGCCCTCTTATTCGTTTGTTTTTTGTTTTCATTTTTGTGTAATCATGATTGTTTTGTTTTGACCTAACAGTTAACACCATCCTCAAATAAAGTACGGATAAATCAAATATTGACCAGTATATTTTGTACATCTCCTATTTGTTGATCGCTTTGGTCATTTTTGTTCCATACGGAACGCTACATGTTTTCCTTCCTGATAGTTCTGTAAAAATTTGCTTTCGACTTTTCTCGAATAGTTCGTTCAAGTTCCAAAGTCAGCTCCAAATATTAGCGCTAAACACAAGAAAAGATTTCCACTTCTGGCCTAGTGAAATATTTACCAGCAGCAGAATGAAGAGTAAGAAGATGCAATGTGTTTGACTAATTTATAAGACTAAGAAAGTTTTTGTGGCCTAAGTTTTGGTCACTCTGGACATCACATGAGACTGCTTCAAAATATACAGAGCGCAGTGGAAGGGTGTTAGACGAGAGAAACAATGCAAAAGCACTTTGATCGCTCTTTCTTTTTTGTTGGATGAAACTGTGCGCAAAGCTCATCAACGGGTGATATTCAGATTTATATTACGGACTCAAATACTGTAGCTTCCATGCCTTTGAAAAGGACATATTAGTAAAGCTAGTTTATAAGTGTGACAAACACGAGACGGCCATTTGCGTTCAGGTATGAATTAACTGGATCTGGTGAAGGAAAAAGTTTCCCCACTAAACTAGAGATAACATTCAAAAGAAAAACGACAATATTCTTGACTCTTGTTCATTTGTGAGTTGAACTGGTCACGTCGTAGCGGTGGATTTTACCGTGAACCGCTACTTACTGTGATCAGCCAAAAATTAATAACGTAATGTCCCCCACCTTTTCAATTGTAAATCCGCCAATGGAATCTTTTCTGTTTCCAGCACCGAACTAAACTAATACGAACTCAGTGGTCAGCGAAAACAGCTAAACGCGTGTGTATAACCTCTAAAATTGCTCAAATCAATTGATTTACTGGACCAAAGGCAAGAACTAAAATAAGCAAAAGGAAGGAAGTAGCTGTCATTCATTAATTTGTCTTAAAGTATTTTTTTCTTTTATGAGTAAGTGCGCAGAAAAAATTCTTGAAATGCCCATTTGGTCGCACCCCTCTTCCGTACTTCAACTTCCCTTAAAAACAAAATGGCGGAAAATTTTGGCCTAAATTGCAAAGTCTTGAGTGATATTCTCTGTTAATAAACAAGCATCCCTGATACCTAGAGCTAAGAAAGTTGACCATCAAGGCAACAATATTAATAATAATAATAATAATAATAATAATAATAATAACATCATAAGGCGCAAAAGAAAACGCAGATGGTTTTATCTCTTCAATGACTTTGATTCTCAGATCACTGGGAAAAACTAATACCAACTCAGCGTCAGAAATTCTCAAGTCCTCGTCATTTATGGTCTAAGAATATGCACATCAAGCAAAGTAAATAGTGAATAAAGAACGTAACAGGTGAAACTGAACTTTTTACTTCAAAAACGGATGGTAATTCTACGGGAAATAAATTATTTTTAATTAATGCGTATGCTTCGGAACTACACAAGGAAAAACATCTATCATTAAAAACAACTCTTCTTATTGCGCGTGCATTCAATGTCTCAGAGTGTGATTTTTATACCCGGCAACACACACAATGATCCCATTTAGCCAGGCATAGAACTGAATTTAAAAAGAACCCCTGTGTAAAGGAAAAGTACCATCTATACGTTTTAGTGCCCGTCACTGAATTACAGTGATTGAGTCTCAAAAAACTTTTTTTTTTTCTTTGTTAACTCACCTATCTAAACATTTCTTAAAATTACATTTCCTGATAGCTCGCCTGAAGAGGGGAGAGCAAAACAGAAGTTTCATTTATTGCAGGTGTGATACTGAAAGAAAATTAAATTTTAAGAGAGCACTTCCTTTCATTGTGTTCAGAAGCACTTCCAAGCCAGCATTGCGTAATTAATAGAGAGGTTAAGCATCACGTTTACGTCAACGCAAATGCGAATTTGTACCACGTGACCAAGTTCTCTCTTTACTTGTCGTTTACTGTTCATTATTTCTCTACCTAAATTAGAAGTTTCACGCAACTTTTAATCCATAAGATCTGTTTTGATCTGTTCTTATCTGCTCATGGCTATTTTGAGAAATTCTGAACCGAATCTGACGTTTGCCGTTTGCCGTATACGCGTGAACCGTAAACTCTCTAATGTTT